CTTCATGTTCGAATAATCAGCAAGACCAGAAACAAACGTACAGGTATTACTCAGCCAGCGGTGATCGCACGCTGATCTAGTTAATCGTCATCGCTCCATCCAGCCAAGAATAGGTGCTAGAAGCCGTGCAGCGGCACGCGCGCCCGAGAGCTTGCTCTACGAGTGCCGTGCAGAAACTGCAGGCGGCGCAGCTCTTCACGGCGCAGCTGCACTGGGGCGCGTTGTGGCGGGCGTCTTCTCCAATACCTGCGGAGGCCTGGGCCCTCAGGTGGGGCGGGGCTCGGTCCTCGGATGGGCGGGGCGGGGCTGGAAAGGGCGGGGATTGGGAGGGAGGAAGGGACCTGGGCCATCGGGTGGGCGGGGTCTTATGGTGGGCGTGACCTGAGCCTTCGTGTGGGCGGGGCTAGGGTAGGGCGGGGTCCTAGGGTGGGCGGGGCAGGGAATGGGCGGGGATTGGGAGGGAGGAAGGGACCGGAGAGCCAGGCTGCCTTTGCGGGGCCTGGGAGGAACCACCCGGCATCTCCGCAGGGACCCGCCCGCGCCCCGGTGGAAGATGTCCAGGGCCGAGACATACTCACGGATGCGTCTGAAGCTGGTGCCCAACCATCACTTCAACGCTCACCTGGAAGCCAGTGCCCTCCGCGACAACCTAGGTGAGAGGGAGAGCCGGTTGGGCCCGCCCGACCCCACCTGCTGCCCCGTCCATTTCTGGCTGAACACCCGTGGGCCCATTGCAGGCGAGGCCCCCCTGACACCCACCGAGGAGGCGGCGCTGCCTCTAGCAGTAACCAAAGAGGCCAAAGTCAGCTCCGTGCCCGAGGAGCTGCCGGAAGACCAGCTGGGCGAGGAGGAGCTGGCCTCCCTGGAGACGGCGTGAGTGGGGCTGGGAGAGCCGCCGGGCCGGGCGTCTGCTCCGGGTACATGAGCGGGGGTTTGGCCCCGAGTCCATTCCCTCTGCCGCAGGCTAAACGCCCTGGAGGACTGTCCCACATCAGGTGGGGCTGGCGAGAGGGGTCGCCCAGAACAGATGTTGCTCTTTCACGGCGAGGCACCCAGAGCAGGGCAGGCCACACAGACCAGCCTAGGAGGGGCCCACGGGAGTGGCAGGGGCTGAGCGAGGGGAAGCTGGGCACACACGCTGGTGTTCTGGCGAGACATTCAGAGACCCAGGGGCAGGACCGGGGCCACCCTGAGCAGCTCCTCCCTCCCCTCTGACCTGATGGCACTCGGAGCTGCTCCTGGGCTTGAGGGAGGGGTCCCGGAGCCAAGAGCCTGAAGTGGGTGCTGACCCGCAGGATGGAGGCGGCGGAACTGGACGAGCAGCATGAGAAGCTGGTGCTGTCGGCGGAGTGCCAGCTGGTCACGGTGGTGGCCGTGGTCCCAGGGCTGCTGGAGGTCACCACGCAGCACATATACTTCTACGACGGCAGCGCCGAGCGCGTGGAAACCGAGGAGGGTGCGCCTGGTGGAGCTGCGTGGAGGGAGGGCAGGGGTGGCGAGTCCGCTGGGCCAGGCTGAGTGGCTCCTGCACCTGCTCTCCGTCCTCACAGGCGTCGGTCACGACTTCCGGCGGCCGCTGGCCCAGCTGCGCGAGGTCTACCTGCGGCGCTTCAACCTGCGCCGCTCAGCCCTGGAGCTCTTCTTCATCGACCAGGCCAACTACTTCCTCAACTTCCCGTGCAAGGTGGGTGGGACGGCAGCCTCCTCCCCCTGCCAGGCCCCCAGGCCTCCGCCCGGCTCCGTCCCGCCCCACACCCAGATGCGGAACCAGGTGTACAAGTGGCTCCTGCGCCTGCGGCCGCCCGCCCAGGGCTACCTGAGCAGCCGCTCCCCGCAGGAGATGCTGCGAGCCTCCGGCCTGACCCAGGTGGGAGCCCTGGACCGTGAGGGGTGGGGGCGGTCACGGCCCTGTGGTGGCTGGACGTCTCCAGGGGCTCACCTCCTGCCTGCCCTGCCCCCCCAGAAATGGGTGCAGCGGGAGATATCCAACTTCGAGTATCTGATGCAACTCAACACCATCGCCGGGCGGACGTACAACGACTTGTCGCAGTACCCTGTGGTGAGAGCCGGCTCCGTACCTCCACCCGGCCCCTGTCTGCCGGCCCGGTTCACCCAAGTGTAGGCACCGATGGGGGCCACGCCCTGAGCCTTGTCCTAGGCCGGTGTTGCCTAAGCCCTGGCCTCTGTTCTTGCCACTCCCCCCGCCCCCCCCACACACCCACACACCCAGCCCCACTCTTGTCCCCTCCTGGCCCGTTTTCCCTGAGGGGTACCCTGTCCCAGGCAGTCTGTCCGGCTCCCCTGTGGCCTCTCCTAGTGGGTCCCCACCTGTGGGCTCTGCCCATCTTCCTGAGGGTGAGGGCAGGGCAGAGCGGGCAGGTAGGCCACCAGGACCCTCATGCAGCTCCTGCCCGGTGGGCGGCCAGTTCCCCTGGGTCCTACAGGACTACGTGTCCCCAACCCTGGACCTCAGCAACCCGGCTGTCTTCCGGGACCTGTCCAAGCCCATCGGTGTGGTGAACCCCAAGCATGCCCAGCTCGTGAGGGAGAAGTGAGCATGTGGGCAGGGCTGGGCTCGGAGGGTGGGACGGGCCACGGGAGGGCTTCTGCCGACCCCCCGAATTGTGACTCCAGGTATGAGAGCTTCGAGGACCCAGCGGGCACCATTGACAAGTTCCACTATGGCACCCACTATTCCAACGCCGCGGGCGTGATGCACTACCTCATCCGCATGGAGCCCTTCACCTCCCTGCATGTCCAGCTGCAGAGTGGCCGGTGCGGCCCAGGGAGGGGCGGCAGATGGCCGGCGGCGGGGAGGCCAGCGATTGAGGGGAAGAGGCAGGTCCTCCACCCCCTCGTCACCGCCTCACTGTGGCCCGTGCCCCTCTCCACCAGCTTCGACTGCTCTGACCGGCAGTTCCACTCGGTGGCGGCGGCCTGGCAGGCCCGCCTGGACAGCCTGGCCGACGTGAAGGAGCTCATCCCAGAATTCTTCTACTTCCCCGACTTCCTGGAGAACCAGAACGGTAGGGACTGGCGTGGGGATGCAGACGCGGGCCACGGGGGGCAGGTGTGGTGTGGAAGGAGACGCGGGCTGGGGAGTGGGTGAAGACAGCTGACCAGTCCTCTGTTCCAGGCTTTGACCTGGGCTGCCTCCAGCTGACCAATGAGAAGGTGGGCGACGTGGTGCTGCCCCCGTGGGCCAAGTCCCCTGAGGACTTCATCCAGCAGCACCGCCAGGCCCTGGTGAGGATGTGGGTCATGTAGCCAGGCAGCCGGGGTGGAAGGTCAGGGTTCGGGGTCAGCTGTCTGTCCCTGGACTGACCGCCCCTCCCTGTCCATCCCCAGGAGTCGGAATACGTGTCCACCCACTTGCATGAATGGATTGACCTCATCTTTGGCTACAAGCAGCGGGGCCCGGCCGCAGAGGAGGCCCTCAACATCTTCTATTACTGCACCTATGAGGGTGGGCAGGCCCTGGGCTCACGTGGAGGCTGGGCACGGAGGAGGAAGGGTGGAGGCAGAGGGCACGGAGGAGTCCTGACTGCTTGGTCTGCCCGTCCAGGGGCTGTGGATCTGGACCAGGTGACGGACGAGCGGGAACGGAAGGCTCTGGAGGGCATTATCAGCAACTTCGGGCAGACTCCCTGTCAGCTGCTGAAGGTAAGGCCAGCGCGGAGGCCGCGGGCAGGGGTGTCCAGGCCACGGTGCTAACTGGCCACTCGCCCGCCCGCAGGAGCCGCATCCAGCCCGGCTCTCCGCGGAGGAAGCAGCCCAGCGCCTTGCCCGTCTGGACACGAACTCGCCCAGCGTCTTCCAGCACCTGGACCAGCTCAGGGCCTTCTTTGCGGAGGTGAGAGGAGGCCGGGCCTCGGCTTCCTACTCTCGGAAATGAGTTCAACCTGCTGTTGCCCTTACCAACCTGTTGGGGCAGAGGGGAGACCGACATCAGGGCCACTGACACTCCGACACCCCGGGAAACCAGAGGACTGGGGGTGCAGCTGGGCAGGAAAAGGCCCGGACGCAGCCACCCCGAGGGCCTCGGGGAGACCGGGAGGGCGGGCATCTCCATGGACACTCCCTCGCCTTCCTGCTGCGTCTCGCACGCCCCGGGGCCTGACGTTCTTAGGCTGCCCTCTCCTGCCCGCAGGCTGGGGGACATGGAGTATCGGGGTGGGTGGACCGAGCTTGAGGCCCTGTCCACCCCAGCTTCTCACCCACTTTCTGAGGCGCCCCCTGAAGACCCACTGGTCTCACACGTGCTCCCCAGTGGGGCCTGGGGCCTCTGGGGGCGGAGAGGCAACGAGGCAGCGGTGCCCAGGGAGCAGGTGGTGTAGTGGGGCGCGGGCTGGCCTCTCGGACACAGCCAGCCTCCCTCACCCGCAGCTCATCAGCGACGGTGTGCCCCTGGTGCTGGCCCTGGTTCCCCACCGGCAGCTCCACTCCTCCATGACCCCGGACCTGCTGGTAAGTGCTCTGGGCAGGATGCCACCGGCCCCGCCCCCTCTCTGACTGCACCCCAAACCTGCCTCTGCTCCCCTTGCTCGCAGGTGACCGTGAGTGCCAACGGACTGCTGGGCACCCACAGCTGGTTGCCCTATGATCGCAACATAAGCAACTACTTCAGGTTCATCAAAGACTCCACCAAGTGAGAGGGCTACGGCAGGGGGGTCCCCCCCACTCAGCAGGATGCTGACCAGCCGCTGGGTCTGGCCAAGGACCCCGAGGGCCTCGGTACCCTGGCCTCACCTGTCACCCCCTTCCTTGGTCAGGGGGCAGCGGCTGCTGAGTGGCCCCTGGGTGCCGGGCAGCGGCGTGAGTGGGCAAGCCCTGGCAGTGGCCCCCGACGGAAAGCTGCTGTTCAGTGGTGGCCACTGGGACGGCAGCCTCTGCGTGACCGCGCTGCCGCGGGGCAAGCTGCTGAGCCAGATCAACCGCCACCTGGGTATGAGCGCCCTGAGGCTGGGGTGGGGCCGGGCGGGGCGCGTGCCAGAGGCTGGCCCGGAGGCGTGACGACTCTGTTCTACTTGGACCTCCCCTCCCCACGCAGACATAGTGACCTGCCTTGCACTGGACACCTGTGGCATCTACCTCATCTCAGGCTCCCGGGACACCACCTGCATGGTGTGGCAGCTCCTGTACCAGGTGTGCCTGGGCAGCTCGGTGGGGCCCCCGTAGTCAGACCTGCCGCCCGCCCACCCCTCTGCAGGCTTCCAGTCCTGCTCCTCTCGTCCCCTTCCCTCCACGACCCTCTAGTTCTCTGGCTTCACCCTGTCCCCTCGCGCTCCTGAGCCGTAGCCTCCCTGTTCAGGGGCCGGGGTAATGGGGTGCCCCCAGGCCTGAGACAGCCCTGGATTCCCACAGGGTGGTCTCTCGGTGGGACTGGCATCGAAGCCCATACAGGTCCTGTATGGGCACGAAGCTGCCGTGAGCTGTGTGGCCATCAGCACGGAACTGGACATGGCTGTGTCCGGATCGGAGGTCTATATATGCCTGCGCCCGGGGGGGCCGACGGCTGGGCACTGCCTCTGGAGCCCAGAGCCCCTGCCTAGCACCCTAAGCTGCCTTCCTACAGGACGGAGCTGTGATCATCCATACTGTACGCCGTGGCCAGTTTGTAGCAGCACTCCGGCCCCCGGGGGCCATGCTGCCCGGACCTGTGTCCCACCTGGCGCTGGGGTCTGAGGGCCAGATCGTGGTGCAGAGCTCGGCGCGGGAACGTCTGGGGGCTCAGGTATGGGAAGGGGCACCGGCCAGGACGGGGTGGTTGGGATTCTGTGCTTGCTGACACCTCCTGCTTCTCCCAGGTCGCCTACTCCTTGCACCTGTACTCAGTGAACGGGCGGCTGCGGGCCTCCCTGCCCCTGGTGGAGCAGCCCACCGCCCTGGCGGTGACGGAAGACTTTGTTCTGCTGGGCACAGCCCAGTGTGCCCTGCACATCCTCCACCTGAACAAGTGAGCCCCATGAGCCCCACTGTCTATGGGTTCCTGGTCCCTCAGGGTGGTGGCCATTGGCAGAGGAACCAGGAGGTGCCCCCTGTGGACCCACACCCTCTTTGCATGCTCACCGGCACGTCCTGCAAGTCCTGTCCCTGACTCCCCGCCCCCCACTAGGGAGATCTCCCCAAACAGGGCATTTAGGAGAATGAGGAGTCTGCTGGGTGCCAAGCTGCCTTGCGTTTTGAGTTCGTGTATCCCCTCCTTCCCTCCCTGCAGACTGCTGCCGGCTGCGCCTCCGCTGCCCATGAAGGTGCCCATCCGCAGCATGGCGGTGACCAGGGAGCGCAGCCACGTGCTCGTGGGCCTGGAGGATGGCAAGCTGATCGTGGTGGGCGCGGGGCAGCCCGCTAAGGTGAGGACAAGGGCGGGAGGGGGCTCGAATGGGGCGCGGAATGGTGGTCTTGGCTGACCCACCGCTCCTCCCACCAGGTGCGCAGCAGCCAGTTCGCTCGGAAATTCTGGGGGTCCTCGCGGCGCATCTCGCAGGTGTCCTCTGGGGAGACCGAGTACAAACCCGAGGAGGAGCGCTGACCACCTGCCCGTCCCAGCGCGGGCCCCGCCCCCAGCAAGGCCCCGCCCCCAGAGCAGGCCCCGCCCAGGAGCCAGCGAAGCTGTCAGCTGGCACTCGGGGTGGGCGGTACCTCACCCCCACCCAGCTCAGGGATTGGCGGGCGGAGTCACTCCCGGAAGTCCCGCCCCTCGCCGGCAGAGGGGCATCCGGGATCCCAGCCCGGGCCCGGGACCGCACAGCACTTTCTGCAGAGCCTGGGGCGGGGAACCCAGCGCCCGAGCCCCGGTTCCGGCAGCACAGGGACCGGCCGTGGCCTTAACCCCCAGGCGGCCCCGCTCCCGTTCTCGGCAATAAACGTGGCCTCGTTTTGTAGCTGCTCCGCCTCCCGTGTTTGCGCGCGCGGCTCCGCCCGCCCGGGTCACCCTCAGGACTCGGACCCCTGGTCGTGAGCCCTCGGGGCGGCTCGTCCCTCCCGTGGCCTCCGTTTCCCCGGCCGCCCCAACCTGCCCCTCGGGCCCCCGCCGCCGGCTCCCGGCTCGTGCTCGCACGCTCGGTCCTCCACGTGGCCGCCCTGCAGGCACCGTGCGCCCCCGCCTTCCGGGCGGCGAAGGGTGGGCGCGTCTGCGCGATCCTCTCCGGGGCGTGGGGAGCCGCCCCGCCCCCGCCGAGCCCGTCCTGGCGCCTCTCCGTCCCGGCGGCCCGGACCCGGCCTCCCGGGATTCCACACGGTCTCCTCGCCCGGCCCTTGGGAAGCTCAGCGGCCGCGGCCCCGCCAGGGTGAGCGGATCGGGGGCGCGCGGAGGGTTGGCCGCCACAGGCAGGAGCGGGGCCCAGAGCGGCCTCTGCACCCGCCCGAGACCGCGGTCCCGGTGCCGCGCCGTGGGAGTGTGTGCGGGCAGCCGGGCGTGAGTGGGCCTGCGGGGTGCTGCTCTGTGCGGCGTGTGTTGCGGGCCCCGAGCCGGGTGCGTGGTGTGGGGCGGTGGAGGCTTCAGAGCCGCAGCCCGAGGAGGGTCAGGCAGACACAGGACCGTCCCAGGCTCACCCACCACCGGATCAGCCAGGACCCAGAGGGGCCCTCATGCGGTAAGTGACACCCACTCACCCCGACACGTGGCCGGGCCCGGGCAGGCAGCCTGTGTCCCGGACCCACTTGCCAGCTGCGCCCTTCGCCGAAGCGTGGTGCACGGCCTCGGCACGGAAGTGGGTGTGGGGTCCGGGGCGGACAGGCCCGTGTGGCCTGGGGGGTTGGAGGGCTTCCCCAGCCGCTTCATCCCTTTTCCAGACAAGATCCTTCCTGGCCTCCTCCCCAGGCCTCAGGAGGCGGTCCCAGCAGGATGAGCCCAGTAGGTCCCGATGGGTCCTGGGATGGAGTGGGCCTGTCCTTCAGGGTTCTGGCCTCTGGCCCATATGCCCTGTGACCTTGCTGGACCCAAAGCACCCTCGTGTCCATCCTCAGCAGGAGGCGAGGGCGGGCACACTGGAGGCAGGAGTGGGGACAGTCACTCCAGGAGTCCTAGGCACTGGGTTCCTGGCCTCCTGCTGAGCAGTCTGGAGCCTCCCACCAGCCAGTAATGGGCTGAGATGGGGTGGGCACCTCCCTGGTTCCTCCATGCCATCCCTGGACTCTGGTTTGCCAACCTGCCCGCCTCCCTCCTGAGCTGCACCCCGGCTCCTCTTGGCCAGCTGGGGCCAGTTCTCACCTCCACTCCGTCTGACACGAGAGGAAACTGGTCCAGGTTGCTGAGTGGGAGTGTGAGGGTCAGCCAGCCCTGGGGGGAATCAGGACGGAGTGAGCCAGGAGAGGGACTCCCGGCGTCGCTTTCCCCCCATGTCCCTACACATAGCGCCTGGGGCCTTAGAGAGGCCCCCCAGCTCCATGCCTGGGCACTGCCCCTAACACTCCGACCCCTTCTCCACGAAGAGACGCAGCCCCTGGGAGCACTACCCGCTGGCAGAGCGATGCCTCACAACTCCAGCCACGGGGTCAGCATGGTCCGTGGGGGTAAGCACCTCTCGATCCACGTTTTGGGCACAGGGCAGGATGGAAGTAGCCCAGGTAGGTGAGTCACACTCAAGGTCGGTCATGGGCTCTGGAGTTCTTGTCCGCGGTGCCTGCCCAGGATTGTGGGAGCAGCCGGCCTCCAGGCAGAAGGAAGCCGCAGCATTTCCGTGCCTTCCAGTTCAGCTTCATTTTGCAAAACGTGTACAAGGTATCCTGTGCACGGAGGCCCCATGGAGACCGCCATGAATCAAGGTGGTTGGGAAGACCGGACACATAGTTCAGGCCACAGGAGACAGAAGAGGTGCAACCAGAGGCAGAAACGGGGAAAACCAAGAGAGATCCCGGAAGCTTCCCACATAGGAGACCCCTTCCAGACGGACAGGCGGGGAAGGCGGAACAGCAAGTGCAGGCGCCTGGGAGGCCCTGAGAAGGAAGGGCAGCTCTGGGAAGGGTGGTGAGCAAAGGGGAGGCTATGGGAGATGAGCAGGGGAAACGGCCAGTCCGTTCTGCATGCTGTGCTGTGAGCTTTTATTATAATTTTAGTTTTACCTGACCATTCTATTCTAGGTTCTTAAATTGCATTTTTTGAAAATGTATTTTTATTGATTTCAGAGAGGAAGAGAGAGAGAGAGAGGAGAGAAGAGAGAGAGAGAGAGAGAGAGAGAGAGAAACATCAGTGATGAGAGAGAATCATGGATTGCCTGCCTCCTGCACACCCCCGACCGGGGATCGCGCCCACAACCCAGGCATGTGCCCTGACCGGGAATTAAACCGTGACCTCCTGATTCATAGGTTGACGCTCAACCACTGAGCCACACAGTCCAGGCATGTATGAGCTTTTGACTACAGAGGAGGGACTATATTTCCAATCTTTTGGCAGCCAAGTCTAGGTGAGGCCGCCCAGGGACCGAGCCTGGGTTCCTTGCCCCTGACCCGGTCCTTCCTTTCTTCCACAGATAAGACCTGGAAGGAGCAGGACAGGGACAGGGAAGGAGCGTGGAGAGGCGAAGCGGGCGGCCTGGCCTGCAGCGCCTCCTCCCCATTCCCCCCGGAGCCTCCAGGGGCCGCAGGCAGCAGCATCCCGGTCTACTGTGCCCTCCTGGCCACCGTGGTCCTCGGTCTGCTTGCCTACGTGGCCTTCAAGTGGTAGGTGGCCTGGGGACTGCCCTGTGGGACCCCTTCCTGTCCGGACTCCCAGCCAGCTCCCCGTCTCAGTGAAGGTCGGAGCTGACTGGCAGGGCCCCTGCTCCCACAGCTGGCGCTCCCGTCAACAAAGACAGCAGCTGGCCAAAGCTCGGGCTGCGGAGCTGGGCGCCCTCGACAGGGACCCGGGGCACGGGGAGAGCAGTGTCTTCCTGGACTCTCCTAGCGGCCAGGGTGAGTCCCTTTCCCTGGGGAGCAGGGACCTAGCTCTGCCCGCCGCCCAGCCCATCTGACCCTCGTGTCTCCCACCCAGGGCCACATCCGGAGCTCGGCCGCCGGCTTTACCTCCATCTCCCTCAGCAGCAGCAAGAGGAAGTGGAGCGGCTCCTGGGAGTGTCGGGCGACCCCAACAAGGGCTGGCAGGGCCTGGCAGGCCGCCTGGGCTACCAGACGGAGGCTGTGGAGACCATGGCCCGGGGCCCGGCGCCTGCCTGCGCCCTGCTGAGGGACTGGGCTGTCCAGGGAGGCAGCGGCGCTACCCTCAGGGTGCTGGAGGACGCCCTGGCCGCCATGGGCCGTGAAGACGTGGTCCGGGTCCTGGGCCTCCCGCCTGAGGGCTGCTCTGTGGTGTGAGCCAGGCCCCCCACAGCCTGGCCTCTCGGGGTGCAGCCCTGTGCTCCCTACCACGCCCTCTCCCATGCCCTTCCTTTCATGGGCTTCTTGCCTGGGTGGGCCCAGCCTGCTCCGTTCTGGAGGGACTCAGAAGGTGCAGCCACCACCCCCCTCCCCTGGCCCCATGTCCCTCTGAGACAGAGACCAGGATCTGGGGGAGCAGGCAGGAAGGAGTGGGCCTGCCCTCCTGCTCCCTAGCCCCTCCCCTTCCTTGGCCTTAACTGTTTTTCTACTTTTGTATCCATAGTAAAGGCGGCTCTGGGTTACTGTGCAGGCTCTGTCTGGCTCCGTGGGCCTGTGAGGCAGTGGGTGGCTAGGAGGCTGAGGCCCTGAGAAAGGACGGGGTCCTGAGTTATGGGAGGAACCTGGGCTGCAGGCCGTGTGCTCCCGTGCAGGAGGCGGGAGCTGTGGGGCTCGGCCCCGAGTTCTCCTCCTGCACCTGCCGTGCCCGGGCGGGGTCGTGCTGGAGCTGTTATTCTCAACTCCAGCCTCCTTCGCTGGAGAACAGGGACGAGAATGGCAAGTTCAGCAGGTTCCCCCCACCTGAGACTCGCAGGTGGCGGCGCCCGGCACGGCGGGGAGGCTGGTCCCCAAGGGTGTCTGGGCACCTACCTCTCGAGCTAAAGGGAGAAAGGGCCACCGTTGCCAGGCCCACACTCCGGCCTCAGGCGAGGGAGGGCCAGCGAGCTTCCCTCGCTGCGGATGTGCTGTCTGCATGACCGAGGGCTGGCAGGTCCCCCCGCCCACCTGAGGGGCAGGTGAGGACAGGACCGCCGCAGCCCAGCCACCTGCAGCCCACGCTGTGCTCCCTCGGGAGGGAGAGGCAGGCAGTGTGGTGGCCGCCTCGGGCGAGGGCTGCGGCAGCAGACAGGCCTGCCAAGGGAGGACTGACGGCTACCATCCTGGCAGCCACCCCCAAACTCTCAGGAGACGTGGGGCCGTCATGGTCCAGGGGCCCAGGGCAGGCCCCGTCCCCTGCTGAGATGGCACAGACAGGACCCAGCTCACCAGCTGCTGCTGCTGTTCCTGAAAAACAGCTCCCGGGGCGGCTCGACCCCCAATCTCTTCCTTCACAGGGAAGGCACTGCCTGGCCGGCCTGGCTCAGGGGCGGAGTGGCGACCTATGAACCAGGAGGTCACGGTTCAATTTGGTCAGGGTACAGGCCCGGGTTGCAGGCTGGACCCCCAGTGTGGGGCATGCAGGAGGCAGCCCATCAATGATTCTCTCGATGTTTCTCCCTCTCCCTTCCTCTCTGAAATCAATACAAATATATATAAAAGGTGGGGGGGGCGGGGGGACTGAGCCACCTTCATCCTGAGATGACCCTGGGGCAGCAATAACCCAGGAGACAAAGCAGGAAAGACTCAGCATTCCCACAGCTAGAATCAGACCAACCCTGGGGACACCACACCCACTTCAGCAGGGAGTGGCTGCAGCTGACCACGGATTGGCTGGGCGTGAACGTGAACGTGAATCCTGCCTTGGGGGCACGAACCGCTCTCAGTGAGCTGGCAGCCTCCATCACTGGGGACTGGAGCTTGAAGGTGTCCGGAGCAT